CCCCAAAACCCCAAAACCCCTTGTAACTAAAAATGCTAATCAGAAACAATTTTAATTATGTAAATTGCAAATAATATCTATTCATTTAATATTTCGTTTTTACTTTTTTAAGTTTGGTTTTAAATTAATTATAGCCTCTAGCTAGTTCAAATTATTTGTAGATTTTATAAACTAGCTTTAATACTCTAAATAATTATCCTCAATTTTTTACATTTCATCTCTATGTTCTTATGATTTTTAAAACGTTAACTAGTTTTATTCTATGTTTAGATCGTCATTTTCCAATTCAAAAAGACTATTATACACTGGATTATGAATAAAGAATGGATTATCAAAATTTTCCTATTATATTTTTGTCGGTTGCTAAGTAAAGGTTGATTATGATTCTATTTTTTATGTTAAAGTCTGCTCAAAGCCTAATCTATCTAAATCCAGTGTATTAAGAGGATTAAGATTTATATTGAAGTTGACTTATGAAAGTGAATGCTCCTTTGGATATATATTTTAATTTTTTGCATCATTTTTTTTGCATTTACTTTTTTGGTTTTAATTTAAACTTTGTCCTTTTCTATTTCTAATTTGGAGAATTTTTTCCTAATAGTAATTTTTATAGCCTTTCATTTAGGATCCCAATTTTGAATTAGTTTTAGTTTTAAATTTGGGATTGTTCTTATTTTTGGAATTTTTCTTTCTTTAAATAGTAGTAGTTATATCTTCTCTCGTCATTTCAAAGGCATCTCTGGTATTATCAAAATTCAAAGTGCTCAAATCACTTTTGCTCATTTCAAAAGTTGACTAAAACCTATCTTATTAATTCATTTGAACTTATTTTTTCTTTGAATCTTTACCAATAATTTTAAACTTGATCAGTATGTTCTTTACTGAATTTCCAAGCTTTTAGAAAGTCTAACCTATCATAATGAGCATATTGACTAGAATATTTAATGAAGTAATGGCTATTGCAGAAATGCCAAAATATTGTAATACTTCCTAATCCTCTACATAATCTGTAAAAATGATAAGATGATATCCAGTAATCAAAATACAAATCTCATTAAAGTACTCTAAACTATTTTAAAGCTAAGTTTCAAAAGGTTTTACTATTCCAATAAACATGATTAAGAATACACTTTGAGAAAATAGAGTTAAGATTTGAAAATATGGGTAATTCATCATAAATACACAAGCAAAAGCAAAGAGTAATCTCCTTAATACAAAAAATACATTAAAAAGTAGGCATATTTTCCTATCTATATTAAGTTACTCATACAATGAGCCAAATCAATGTTCAAACTCTTATTTCTTAAGATTCTTTTAATTAATATCAAGAAAGCCAATAATAAAAATTGGAAAACAAATAGCAATCCCAAGTAAAGCGATTGAAATAATAGAAGCAATTTTATCATTTAGAACAGAGAATTTCATCTAAAAATATTATCATTACATAAGCCTATCATACTGTATATAAATTAATGAGTGAGTTTATGGCAAACTCTAAGTAACCTTCTAAAATAAATCTTATGA